ACCCTCCAGCTCTCCACCCCAGCCTGCCCCCACCATGTCCTGTCCTTCCTCCCTCCCTCTTACACAAGGGTCTTTCCAGACTCTGACACATGGGAGTTCTCTCTGCCTACTGTGTAATTACATGCCTGCTACATTCTTATCCAGAGCAAGGCATTGTTCCCATTTTATAGATGAGAAAACAGAGTATCAGAGAGATGTAGCCTCTTGCCCAGGTCCACATGGGGGCGGCGGGGGGAGGGGCAAGGGATAAGACCGAGATAGATACAGGCCCAGCGGTGACTTCAGAGTCTGTGATCTGACCCTCTTTGCTCAGTGGCCCTCTGCCATAGGCTGAATAGTGGGCCTCCCTGAGACGTCCACATCCTAATTCCTGGAACCCACAAATGCCACCTTATATGGCAAAGACCCTGCAGGTGTGATTAAGGATTTTAAAATGAGATTATCCTGGTTATTACAATTCGCAAGTGTTCTTTTAAGAGGGATTATCGGTGGAAGGCAGAAAGCTATATGGAAGTAGAGAGATTTAAAGTTGCTACACTGTCGACTTTGGAGGAGGATGGAGGGAGGGGCCATGAGCCAAGGAATGCAGCTCTAGAGCTGGAATGGGTTTCAGCCTGGTGAAACTGATTTTGAATTTCTGGCTTCCAGAACTGTCAGAGAACAAATGTGCACTATTTTAAGCCACTGAGTTTGTGGTACCTGCTTACAGCAGCTGTAGAAGTCTACTATGCTTTCCCTTCTAGAAGGGCCTCGTTCAGCCTCCCAGGACTGGTGTGTGGCTCCTCCCTGCTCTGTGCTCCCTGTGGTCACTGAACCTCTGAATCAGGTTCTGCTGCTGCTCTGCGTTTGCCCCAACCTTGGCCCTCTTCTCTTGCTCCCAGCACTGACATTGCCAGGCTGGTGTCATCTTCCAGTTGGCCAAGAGTAGGCACCGGCTACTGGGCTCTGGGGCATAGCAGAGGAAGAAACTGAGGCTCAGAGAGGGACAGTGAAAGCCCAAGTTCACTCAGCTAGCAAGGGGCAAGGCCAGGTTTGAGCTTTGGACCTGGCTGGTTCTAGAGCTGGTGCTCCTAACAACTCCTCTCCCAGTGGACACTGAATGAGGGTCCCTGAGTGACCCTTGATAAGTACTCCTGAATGAGTGACAGTAAATTTCCCTGAAAGGCAGGCAGACACTGAAACCCAAAGAAAATATATTGTCGGAAGGGCTATGGGAGCCACAAGGAGAGTAAACCAAGCCTGAGCTAACCAAGGAAGGCTTCCTGGAAGAGGGCACCTTGAAGGATGAAGGCATTCCAGATTGAGAATATCATGAGCTAAGGCCTGAAGATGAAAGGAGGGATGGCAGAACACGTGAGGTGTCTGAGGGAGCCTGGGGTGATGGCACCAGGCCTAGATCATGAAGGGCCTTGGGTATCAGACTGAGGCCTGAAGAGCACACAGAAGTTGGGGAGCAGGAGAGCAAAATCCCCTACACTGTCCTTTAGGAGGCAACTGAAGTAAATGGCTCAGGGGAGGCTGGTTTGTTTCATTTGGAGGCTGCTGACACCAGCGAAAGCTTTGGGACTGGGACTGAAGCCAAAGAGATATAGCCTGGGGCAGGGGACAAGACTCTAGAGCCACTTCGGAGGAGAGGGGACAATAAGACCTGGTGATCTACTGGCCTCAAGTGTCCATGCCTCATCCAGGGGACAGAGGCTGATTTCAGTAAACACAACCAGAAATGCAGGAGTGGAGCACCAATGTAGGGAGAAATCTGGGCAACAACTAGGAGGAGGTGTCCTAAAGGCAGTTAAGAGAATGGATCAGGACTCAGGGGACAGGTTGCGATAGCAGACACATGATGAGCAGAAACTGGGAAGGCTGTGGTGGGCATAGCTGCAGGGGGAATGAGGTAGTCAGGGAAGGTGTGGCAAGAGGTGACCAGGGCACCCAAGGTCAAGGACTCTTAAGGAAAGACCCTTTCCCTCCTCTGCTGCTGGTGACTCAGGGTACCAACCCCAGCACCCACCTGGGCCCATATGGAATTGGACTTTTCCTGATGGGCTTCACTTTAGGGAAAGCTGATAGGAAATTCTAAACCAATAAGAGCAAATAAATGAGGGGTGATTACCGACAATAGAAGAGGGTACACCACGGGGTGCCTCCAAATAGCATTTCCTCCAGTACATTTTAAGTGCTTTATAGGTCATTAACTACTTGACAGAGAGAGCCTGACACTTAAAGCAAAGAATTCTGCGCCTCTGCCAGGGAAAATCAATCAGAAATGAAGATTGAGCATTGCTGATGTTAAAATGTACTGGGTGGGCAAAAGGGATTCGATTTACACATAATGTTAAGGCCCTCTCCGTTGTGTAAAGTGGGGCACACTGGTATTTGAGGCCGTTTATAAGTCCCAAACTTAACCCCCCCCGCCGCCATTTTTTGTTGTTGTTATTGTTAATGAAATATTTCAAAGACACGGAAAAGTACAGAGATGAGCTTAACGTCTGAGCCCACCACCTAACTCTGTCAAATAAAACATTACAGCTACGGTTGAAGTACCCACTTGTTAAAAATGTTACTTGCCTTTTCTTCCTGTCTTTTCAAATCCCTTCTGTCTTCCAGCCCCCGCTCTTCGGGGAGACCGAGGCTGACCACCCATCCCTGCCCAAGACATCGCTCCTTCCTCTGAAATCTGACTGTCATTACTGCCTCTTTAATTAACTTGGCGATTAATCACCACCTGCTTGTGAAACAGCTTTTATTGTCCTTGTCCATCTCATATGTGGGATGTGGATGGGGGTGGGGACCATGCAGGCAGGAAAAGGAGGGACAGGCAGGCTGGGCAGAGTCTGCTGGAGAGAGAGGCTTGAGAAAGCCTCATATCAGAGCATCAGCTCACTCCTGGCTCCGCAGCTGTCACGTAACAGGAGCTGAGAGGAGCCGAAGATAAGACCCCAGAAGGCAGTGGGCACTAGAAGGATCACCTGCTCTTGCTGTCCCCCTCCGACCAGAATGTTCTTTCTTCACTGAGCCTTGTTGCAGGCGGAATTGTGTCCTCCAAAAAGAGATGTTGAAATCCCGACCTGTGAATATAACTGATTTGGAAATAGGACGTTTGCAGATGTAGTGAAGTTGAGATGAGGCCATACTGGGTTAGGTGGGCCCTAATGCAATGACCGTTGTCCTTATAAAGGATCCTAGGAAAACAGAGACACAGGGAGAACTCCCTGTGCCATCAAGCCTGCTCCTCTGCATGCCTGAATCTGGCCGTCCAAGGATCTTAGGCGGCGTGTCTCTGTCAATTTTTTTAAATTTGTTTTTTATTTTTTTTTAAGATTTTATTTATTGGGGTGCCTGGGTGGCTCAGTGGGTTAAAGCCTCTGCCTTCGGCTCAGGTCATGATCCCAGGGTCCTGGGATAGAGCCCCGCATCGGGCTCTCTGCTCAGCGGATAGCCTGCTTCCCTCTCTCTCTCTGCCTACCTCTCTGCCTACTTGTGATCTCTGTCTGTCAAACAAATAAATAAAATCTTAAAAAAAAAAGATTTTATTTATTTATTTGATGGAGAGAGAAAGAGATCACAAGTAGGCAGAGAGGCAGGCAGAAAGAGAGGTGGGGGGGGAAGCTGGCTCCCTGCTGAGCAGACAGCCGGACTTGGGCTCCATCCCAGGACCCTGGGATCATAACCTGAGCCTAAGGCAGAGGCTTAGCCCACTGAGCCACCCAGGGGCCCATGTTTCTGGTCAATTAATGCTCTCACCCAACTCCAGAAGCAGCTCCTACACCCTCTTTTATGGGAGGAAACCTTCTCCTCTATCCCATCTCAGAGACCGACCTTCAGTCAGAAGGACCAGTCTGGGGGGAAATCTGGGTGACTCAGTCAGTTAAATGCCTGACTTTTGATCTTGGTTCAGGTCTTGATCTCAGAGTTGTGATTTCAAGCCCCACAGTTGGGTTCCACGCTGGGCATGGAGCCTACTTTAAAAAAGAAAAAAAAAAAAAAAAAAAAAAAAAAACCAGTTTGGGATGCAGTGGGGTTTCCCAAGCATTCCCTCCCCCCGCAATAGTATGCCTGGTCAAGTCAGTTTCCCTGGGCTCCCCCTAGAAAAATCCTCCCACATGTCCCCAAACCCTCAGAGGTGGGTAAGGTAGTCTGGTTTGACCAGAGTGCTTTTAACGTCCGCTGTGATTTGTGGGGGAGGGGTGCCAGAAAAGGAGAGGGACCCAGAATTTAACACCGACAAGCACAGGGCTGCCTACAGCATATTCACTGAAACAACTTCCAAACCACCTTCCGCAATCAATCTGATCTTTGGACAGGTGTGAAACTGAGGCCCTGACGGTCCACAGCGCATCGCTGTGTAGAGATCTGAGGTCCAGTGGTGTAAGCGTGTCCCAGTATCAGCTCAGCCATCACTCCCAGGCGACAGCATTCCTGGGCAGGTCTGTCTCTCCATTCTTGAAGGAGAATGATAATATCATTCTCTAGGGATGTTACCAGCCTTCAAGAGAGCTCTAAAAACCTGTATGCACATTTTCCGTTAATCCAATCAACAAACACATTGTGAGTACATCCTGCATGCCAGGCCCTGGGGGTACAGGGGTGAGCACCGCGTACCCAGGGTCCCGACCTCAAAGTGCTACCTCTTTGGTCGCCAAAGGCAAAGAAATGCAGTTACACTCGGGTGGTTAAGTGTTACGATGGGGTGCACGGAAGCAGCGATGAAAAGGCTGCGGATCTCAGGAGGGCCCAAAAGAGCAGCGGTGGCCGCAGGAAAGAAAAGGCAAAGAATGAAACCCGCAACCCCCACCCCACCCCATTGCCTGAGCCCCTTCTTCATCTCAGCCAGTCAGGCCTCAGCGCCGCCGGACGGCCGACCAATCAGCGCTGGAACAGGAGCGCCGGCGGCGCGGCCCCGGCTTCCCGCGGAAGGGCCGCTGGAGCCCCAGCGCCCCGCCCGGCCCCGCCCCTTCCCCGCCCACTGTCGGCCCAGGCCCCGCCCCGACGCGGCCAGGAGCGCCCGCCTGGAGCCCCCGGGCCAGCGGCCGGCCGCTGGGGCCGAGTATTGTCTCAAAGGCCGAAAAGAGAGGAAAGCGGGGAGACTGGGGGGCAGCCACGTGACTGGGAGAGGATTTATAATATTTTCTTTCGCTGTCGACAGTATTGCAAAATGTATGAAAGGGACTGACCGCACCGCCGGGACCGGAGCGTGAGGGCGCGGGCAAGGTAAGCAGCCCCCGGCCGGCTTCGCGGGGCGCGGGGACGCCGGGGGAAAACGCGGCACCACCCCGCTCACTGAGCGGCTGTCGCGGGGTCTGCGTCCTGGGTCGCCCTCTGAGCCTCGTGAGCCTTGAGCGGTGTAGACGCGGTCCGGGAGCTGGGGCATGTCGGAGGCGGCGTGGACGCGGCTTCTGAGCCGAGGAGTCTTCAGTGACCCGGGGGACTGCCGTGGCGGTGTAGACGCGCGCAGGCGGTCCCGCGGAGGCGCCTCCGAAATCCCGAGGTAGTCCAGGCGGTCAGCGTAACTACCCGGAGTGAGACGGTGGAGACGCGGACACTGACCGAGGCACGCCGCAGCGCCGGGGAGGGGCCGGGGGAGCGCCGCAGAGCCGCGGGGCGGTGGAGACGCGCGCGGGGGGCGGCGGCGGAAAGTTTGCCGGAGCGCGCGGGGCGGGCGCGCGGGGGCGCTGAGCGCAGAGCGAAGCGGCGCGGGGCCCGGGGCGCGCGGCCCGAGAGTGTCCGCTGCTCTCCGCCGCGGGAGCCTGGGGGACCCCCGCGCCCCGGCCCAGCTGCCGCCGCAGGGTGGAAGGGGGCGGGCGGAGGGAGCAGCTGAACTGAGCGCGGGCGGGAAACCGGAGGAGATTGACTTCGAGCCTTTCAGACAGGTTCCCGAAGCGCCCGCGCTGTGCCCGCTGGAGCCCGGGGGTCTCTCCAGCTCACCTGGAGGAATCTGAGGGGCAGAGGCCAGCTTACCGACACGACAGTCGCTGAGGGGCCTCAAACCCGGTCTGGTCCGAGCCCGCAGCCCAGCTCCTTCTCTCCTTCCACTTCGCCTCAGTGAGGAGAAAGGCGTGGGGGGGGTGGGGGGAGGCGGGTGCAGATGGGACTTGGGGGTGGGGTGTAGGGAGAGGATCGGGACTCCTGGATCGGCCTCCCGCTGCCTCTCCTTGGATCTGGGGGGCACTTGAGCACTGGAGAGGGGGTGAAGGAGGGTGGAGGAGGGAAGACAGGGATGGGGAGGAAGCCTATTGGGCAGGTGATGCTAGTCCCCGCCTTCCTGATGCTATGCCTGGGGCGGATGGAGTGGGACAGAGTATCTGTGTGACAGTCTCCTGTAGGGTAAGGAAGACCCCGAAACCCAGTTTCTGCCACAGGAGGAAGGCAGAAGGCAGCCCAGAGGAGAGAAGAGATACCAGGGTGGCTCTTGGGGTGGCCCAGTCCCATTTCCCACTACTCCCTGTGACTTTTGCCCCCATTCTTATTCCTACACTCCCCCTTCTCTCTGATTCCTGCACCACAGGTCCTTTGCACATGTTGTGTGTTTTTTTGATCAACAAGTACTCATCGAAAATCCCAGGCACAGGTGACTCAGTGGTGAACAAGGCAGACCTAGTCTGGGACTTCCAAACCAGTGCAGGGACACAGATGATGAATAATAATCCAGAAGGGAATGGGGCACGGGAATGGGAGGCAAGCTTGTGTAGTCATGAGGAAAGGCTTCCCGGGAGAGGTGACAGTGAGGGATTCTGCCTCCTCAACCTTTGGGCTCCAGTCATCTCCTCCAGGAAGCCTTCCTTGACCTCACTGACCTGACACTTCCCCTGTTGACAGGCTGTCATAGCCTGGAAACCACTCCTTCCATGGACATTTTAATGTCATTATTGGGTTAATATTTGTTTCCCTCCATCAAATGGGAGTGTAACGAAGGCAGGACCCAAATTTCTTTTGGGTAGACAGTAGACAAATCGAATAAAGGATGGGTAGAATTTCCCCCAGAAAAACGCAAGCTGCTCAGCCAGGTCGGGCATCCAGATGGCAGAAACTTCTCTCTCCTTCCCTGGACTGAGTCCTGGGCTCCACACCCCATTTGCAGTTCACAGAAGCAAAGTAAAAGAAACAGCAGGCCTGGTGAGGAAGTGAGCAGGGAGAGGCCTGGCCCAGATGGCCCGCTGAAATTCCAAGGCTGTTCCACTGGAAGGGAAGGGACTGCAGAGGGGGAGGCCAGAGGACATGTGCCTGTCCTGTTCTCTGAGCTCAGACCAATCTAGTCCTCAGTTCAACCTCTGTCCCAGCTCTGGGAGGCTTGATTTCCTTCAGATGCTTCTCTGGAGAAGGTGGTGGCCAGCAGGGTCCCCAGATGGCCAGGGTCGAGGGCCACAGGACCTGCCTGGTCTCCCCTGCCTCTCCCCCAATCTGGAGCCGACAGGCTGTCTGTGGCACCTGCCTGCCCCAGAGTCAGGCCTCTGGGCCACAGATCGCTGTGAGGAACATGGAGGTTCCCCACCCTTCCCTGAAACTCCTGGCAGGAAAGTAGGACTCAGGCTTTGAAAGACCAACTCTCCTTAATTTTCATAGTTTCCACACTTGGTGAATTTCTCCCTCCCCTGGCTCTGTCAGACCTGTGGGCCTGGCACTTTTCCGGTGGCAGATTACGCTCTCACAGATGCCCAACAAAGCTTTCAGCTCCCCCCTCCCATCCCACCCATCCACCTCAGGGAGCTGCCTCCATGCTCCACTAGAATGTCTGCAAGCTTTACTCAGGCTCTGGTGGGGACCAAACAGAAGCGGCCTCCCCAGCCAGCCAGCCAGCCAGCCCTCCTGACTGGAATTGCTTTAAAAAATTAATTTGCAATGATTTACGTCCTTCTGTTCTGTGGAGATCACCAGCATTTTAAATATGTATTTAAATCAGATTCACTGCTCCCATTTAAACCTGAAGCATCTCCCCCCCCACCCCCCCACCCCCCAGCAGAAGGAGCCCTGGATTTGGAGTTGGCACAACTCAGAGGTTCAGGCCAAGTTCTGCTAATGACAAGCTGTGTGACCTTGGGCAAATTACTTAACCTCTCTGCGCCTCCATTGGCTCCTCTGGTAACTGAGGTTAATGATAATCCTTCCCTCACAGGGTGTTGGGAGGATTAAATTAGATAACGTTCAGGGAAGGGCTGTGCAATGCCAGGCCTGTGTTTTCTGTTTCCTGGTACAGGCTGTCCCGCTAATTAGCCTGGTGACCTTCCGCAGGCCACTCAGCCACTCCTGGCCCTCAATCTCCCCATCTCGAAAGCATAGGGGTTGTTCTAGGAGATGAGGCCACAGAGCGCACCCCCAACTCCATCGCCGAGCCCCACCACACCGTGGACCTCCTCCACCCCTCTGCCAGACACCCTCCCTTTGGCCACCCTCTTTTGCATTATCTAGGCGCTGGGTTCTAATTGGAGATGGCCCCCCTCCCCAGCTGCCTCTCCTCCTGGCTCCCTGCGAAGCAGAAGCCGCAGGGTTTGGGCCCCAGGGGCCTGCAGTTCTTGGCTCATTTTCAAGAGCAATTAGCCGTGATGTCACAGGCCTCCGTGGTGGTCTCAGTGGGTGTGTGTGCCTGGAAGCCCAAACGCCACTCCGTCTGTGGCCTGTGGGACTCCCCCAGGCCAGGGGGTCCCCACTGCTAGCTGAAGGGAGGCAGCTTCCCCGGCAAAGCCATTTCTGTACTTTATGACTCCTTGAAGCCCCGAGCCTCAGTGTAAATTAGTTCTACCCTGTGCTTTTGTTGGCACTGTCTGTTCCTTGGAAGCGAGGGGCTTTGTCAGGAAGAACAAAGCTGTTTGGTGTTTTTCTGATTTGGGGGAAGCGTGCTCCTGGGGGAGGGCTCATTGCTTCTCAGTGTCAGTCTGGAGTCCTCGGTTCTCAGACTCGCTGGTTTTGTTTTGGGTTTTTAAGTCCTGTGGCTTAAGAGTCACGTATGTCTGTGTGAGTGTTGGCTATGGGATTGCTTTCTTCCTTTCTGGCTTCTATAGCGTATTCCGTGGAAGCTAATTCCAGGGACTGAACTTTTCAAATCACTGCTTCAACAGCTTCTAAAAATCTGGACCTAGTTACCCTTGTCATCCATGTGTAAAGATTTAGGAAAAAATTCCCAACCCGAGGGTGGGCAGCCTTGAGGATGCACGGCTCCTGGCAGCGTGCACTCGCCACAGACTCGAGGTCAAAGCCGAAATGCCGGGCGCCTCTTGGGATGGGAGGTAGTGGGGTCTGCTCGGTGCCAGACATCTGGATATTTAGAAAACATCTGGGTGGCTGGATTTTTCAGATTTCTGCCTGACGTTACATATCACAAACATTGAGCCTGCCTCCCGTCCCCCACCTTCCTAACACACCCAGCCCCTTCCCCCCCCAGCCCCCCTTTCCTGACGGGCAAGAAACATCCATTCTTTCCAATTCCCCAGCGTTTCCCCCCTACCGGAAATCTGATGGGCTTATGACATCATGGCTGGCTGCTGAGCGATGAGTGGATGCCACAAAGAAATCCGACATATCAGATGGATTCTGAAATCAGTTTCCCTCTGGCTGTAGTAACGGGAGTGAAGTCAGGAGAATGTGAGCTTTGTTTAAAAAACAAAAAAATAAAAGTAAGCCTTGTCCTGTATTAAATAGTCTTTTTTTTTTTTTTTTAAGCAAACGGACCTTTTGGATATCATCCTCTTTTAATAGAAATGCTGGTTTTTATGAAATGAAAGCGTCTAATAAATCAGACCTAATGCAATGTGTTCGCTTTCGGTTGAGTTTTTGTGTGTCCTTATTCACTAATAAAGGAGGAACTGGGAATGGTTTCTGTCCCTTCGTTATTCAAATGGGGTAGTTTTTTTGTTTGTTTGTTTGGGTGTGTTGTTTTGTTTTGTTTTGTTTTGTTTGGGTTTGAGGCCAATAAAATTCACTGGGCAAATTGCTGGTTTATGTCTTTCCAGGAATCCATTTTTATAGAGTGACCTTGGACCTGACCTGGTCTGCAAACATTGTATTTGCCTCTGCTGGTTTTTCTGGCTGGGAAACTGTAAAGACAGTGCAGTGAAGCCTGCTTTTCAGTGTCCTTCTCGGCAGGGCAGAGCCAGGAACAGGGAGCTGGGAACAGGGCGGTTTTGGGGATGAAAAACCTATTTGAAAGGACAAAGTCAGGAGGGGAGCAGACAGTAAAGGGGCAGCGTGGGCATGGGGGAACCCACTGTCTTCCCTGCCCCCTCCAAAGAGGACCTCAGAGCTCAGAAATAGCTCCAGACGGAGGGAGCTCCCCGCTGATGCTGGCCCAGGTTACAGGAAGCTCAGGTTTGGGGGTGCTATGCCTACCACGCCTCTGGCACTGGCACTTAGAGTCTGTCAGATCTGCATTGGAGTCTCCACTCCCACTTGGACAAGCTGTGGGGCCCCGGGCAAGTCACGTCATCTTGTAGTCAGTGCCCACCCCCCCCAACCCCCTGGCACAAGGGCCCCACCGTGCGTGCTGGGAGAATCCGTAAGGCTGGACAGTCCTCGGGTGCCCGGCCACTTCGTAGGGCTCCGGGGACAGCCTTGGAGCCAAGCAAAGCCAGTATAGATTCTAGTCTTTACGTTCTGGTTCTGCCAGCTGCTATCTGCGTCATAATAATAGGGCCAACCCCACACATGGGGCCATCGTGAGGACTGACATAGTGAGCGATCACCAGGCCTTAGCTGTTTTTACGAGATGGGCCCCTGAGCCCTGCAGGCAGGTTGCCCGGTAGGACCGTTGGGCCCGGGATGCAAGGGGACGTGTCAAGCTGAGCACAGGAGGAGGATAACCAAGGGCCGAATGGAACATTCTTCATCGCTCTGCACAGAACTTTCCATGGGTCCCCTATGTCCATGATTCCTATTTTAGAAGCAAAAACAAAGACATTAAGCATCTTTGCCCAAGGTCACGGAGCCCAGGTTGGAGCCCGGGGGTGGGCTCCTGCACCTGCCCACCTCATTCCGGCTCCCCGGCTCTGTCGAGCCTTCCCCCACCTGTTCCAGCTCATCCGCGAAGCCGGAGCCCTGCCTTCCAGTGGCTGCCCTGTCCCTGCCAAGACTCTTCCACTACTCCATCCAAGAGGCCTTCCTAGATTACCCTCCCGCCCTGTCATCTTTGGCTCCTCTCAGGGTGTGGCTCTGCGCTGGGCCCCAGGGCCCTTGTCTACCTCCCCTAGAGGCCAGGAGTGGGACTGTGGCCAGTTTTGTGTCCCCCACAAGGCCCTGTGGGCCAGGTCAGCAGCCATTTACTAAGGACCTACTATGTGTAAAACATGGGGACTCATACGGTTGGTGCCCACACCCAGCTTGGACTTCTCTCCTGAACTACAGACCCATGCCGCTGATGCCCTCTGCCACATCCCCATGTGGACGGCCGCTGGGCCCTCTCCCTCAGAGGTCACTCCCAGAAACCTGCCCCACCACCACGTCTTCCCCATCTCAGGTAAGAGCACCTCCACTTTCCATGCACTTGCTCAGGCCCCCCAGCCCTGCAAACACTACTAATGCCTCCCCTCCCTTTCTCTCCTCTGTCTCTCCCCTGGGCTCCTCCCTTATTCAATCCATCAGCAAATATCACTGGCTCTGCTTTCAAAATATATCAGCAATTTGACCATGTCCACTGCCACTGTATGCATGTAGCTGCCTCCTCGTGGGTCTCCTGCTTCTCCCTGGGGCCCCTCGCTTCCATTCTCGGTGCAGCAGCCAGAGTGATCCTGTTAGAACTTAGGTCAAATTCTATACTCCTCAACCCAGAACCCCCGGTTCGGTCAGGGTCAAAGCAGAGTCTTGTGTCTGTCCCCTGCTTGATCCCTCTCAGTTCCCATCGCCCTCACACCACTCGTTGACCTCCTTGCATTTCTTCCAACATCTCGTGTATATTCCTACCTCAGGACCTTTGCACTTGCTGTCCCCTCTCCGGGTATGCACTTTCCTTAGATGTTTATATCACTTTCTCCTTTGTTTCAGAGAGGTTATTTCCTGAAGGTGGTGGCTCAGGAGGTGGCCAGAGGGGGAAGAGGAATTGGAGGAAGAGGGGTTGGGCAGACAAGTGGGAGTGCACTCCGGGGGCTGAGGACGGGGCTGGGTGGGCACAGGACAGTAAGTGGGGCCTTCAAGGTCAACAGGAACCTGGTGGGTGGAGAGAAGGGCAGGTTTTCCAGGTTGGGGTTCCCCGAGGGGGAAATGTACCCGGCATGTATGTGCACAGCTTGGCCGGCAGGGGACAGATTGGGGAAGGTCTTAAGTGCCACCTGGAGAGGTGTTAGGAGGACCTGTGGAGGCTGCGTTGGAATCCCCGCTGTCCCTCTGTATCTCTGTGATCCTGGATGCAGAGCTTCTCCTCCGTTGGGCTCAGCTTCCCATCGGTAGTCTCCTGAGCACAGCCTTTCCTGCAGCACTGTCCTACTTTACAGAGAGGGAGAGACTTAATTAAGCCTGGAGAGACCCAGGGTAGAGAGAGGTCTGCCTGGAAGAGCATGGTAGGCAGGGGAAACAGAATGTGCAAAGACATGGGGCCCTCCTCCGGGCTGCGTTTCTTCAGTCCCTCCCTCAGCGAACAGAGAGGCAGGGAAGACAATGATGGGGGTGGCCTGGCTGTCCCCAGTGGAGGCCTGAGGCGCCCCCGTCTCTGCACTCAAGGGCCTGACCAGCTCTAACCTCATACTCTCCTGAGTGCTGCAGCCCTGAGAGAAAGGCCTTTCCCTGGAGCTGGAGAAGCCAGGGCTCAGAGCAGAGAGGTGACCTGCTGGTACATTACCAAACCGCTGGGAAACGGCAGACGAAGGCCTTGAACCCATGCCCTGCTGTCCTTCAACAAAACTGAGCCGCATTCTTTGGGTGGGGCAGGTGAGCTCACTCCAGGTCTGGGAGAGCCAGAATTGTACAGGTGAGGGGTGTCTGCTTGATTCAGCCAGTAGAGCACGTAACTCTTGATCTTGGGACTGTGAGTTCAAGCCCCACATTGGGTGTAGAGCTTTCTTTAAAGAAGAAGGAGGAGGAGGAGGGGGTGGGGGAGGGGAAGGAGGGGAAGGGACGCCTGGGGAGCTCTGTCGGTTAAGCATCTGCCTTCAGCTCAGGTCATGATCCCAGGGTCCTGGGATCAAGCCCCCTGTCAGGCTCGCTGCTCAGCAGGGAGACTGCTTCTCCCTCCCCCTCTGCCTTCCACTCCGCCTGCTTGGGCTCTGTCTCTCTCTGTGTCAGATAAATAAATAAAATCTAAAAAAAAGAGAGAAAAAGTTGGGATTACAAAAACCTCTTTTAAAAAAAAGCAGAATTGTACAGTGAAATCCCCATTCATGACAGACTTCAAGTTTTCGTCCCTTCCCCCCCACAACCACGAGGTTGCTCTGATCAAGGCCACTCCCTCCTTTGGAGAAGGTGAGTCAGGCCTCTGGAAAGCCCCCTGAGCCTCTTTTCTTGGCTGGAGCTTCTCTGAAGACTCTGGACGCTCCTGGAAAATTCCTAGGCTGTTGGCTCCCTGAAGCCTCACAACCACCCCTCACACAGGGGCTGTTGTTATCCCCATTGTACAACTTGGGAAAGTGAGGCTCAGAGAGGAGCCCTGTCCAAGGAGGCATGCTGCTTAATTGGGGGTGTCCTGCTATATTCAATTTCCCAAGGCTGCCCAGGCATGGGGGCCTGGCGCCCTGTGCAGCAGATCACTGGGGGCTCTGTTGGGAGCTTTAGGTCGCCCATTTCAGCCCACACTGAGAAGAATGTTCTTTTGGGGATGCCCAAGATGGATCTTTGCAGGAGTGAGGTCCCCATCATCACTGGAGTTCCAACAACCTCTGCATTTGGTGGGAGGGAAGAATAACGTCAGAGGGGCTTTTGGACGGACTGAGCAGTTCAAATTTTTTTGACCTCTCCAAGCCTCAGTTTTCCGAGCTGTACATTGGGAATATTAATTCCTAGCTGTCTGAAGTAGTAGTCTGGGAACACCGTAAAGCACCCACAGAAGGTACCCAGTAAGTGCCACTGTCCCCTCCTGGGACTCCCAGACTTCTACGATGGCCAGGCTCTGAGGTCAGAGTATGAAAGGGGCCACTTCACCAGCCCCGTCTCTGTCTGGGGAACTGGGGGTCTGTGCAGGGCTTGAACTGTCCTAGGCATCTGTCTCCCATCTCATCTGTCAGATGGGCTGGGCCATCTGTGGGGATGGGGTCCCCACAATGACCTTGGAAAACATGGCCTTGAGGGCAGAGGGGACCTCTTGCTACCACAGACTTCCCAGCCTCCAGGAGGGGCCGGGTTTACCTTTTTTTTTGTCTCTGTGAGAACCTCACTGCTCTAATTACAGACCCACCCAGGCTCAACTCCGAGCCTCCCTCCCCTCCAGGGCTTCCTGGTTCCTGGCTTAGAAGTGGCTCCATACCAGGAGCCAGAGAGCTGGGGGACTGTCACCCAGATGGGTTCTGTCATGATGCCCCAGGCAACTGCTCACCCACTCTGGGCTGGGGACCTTCCTCACCTCTGCTTGAACAATTCTTGAAGTGGGGCCTACAATCTCGTGTCACAGGACAGAAGGCCGTATTTCAGGGAGAGGAAAAAACTGGGCTGAGCGGTACAAGAGCCAGAATTCTATCCCAGTGTATAAGTGTGCGCGGCTTATGCCCTGCCCTGTCT